CAGAGGGCACTGCCCTTCTCTCTGGCACATCTGGACAGAGATCATCACAGCTGTGGCTGCAGAGGGCACTGCCCTTCTCTCTGGCACATCTGAAAGGCCAGTAATTTTTGTAATGAATCAAGGTTTTGTGTCAGTCAGCCTGATGGATGTGAGTGAGTGTGGAGCAAATTTGGAGAACAATACAATTTCCATGTGCAACAGACCAGTCTATGGGGAGGTACAAGTGAGATGATCTGGGCAGGAGCGTCTAGTTGCTGGTTAAACCCACTTGAAGTGATTGACAGCAGCCTGGGTGGACAGCACTGCACTGACCACGATCAGTCTTGGGACCTCACTGCTCTTCCTGCTGGCTCGTCCTGACGTGCCACCATTCCAGCAGGACAAGACACATCCTCTCGCTGCTCGTGTGTCAACAGCTTCCTTGCGAGATCAGAAAGGGGCTGTTGTACAGCAGAGAACCTCCTCACCAGACTTGAGCCCCACTGAATGTCTGTGGGATGAGCTGGGGTGACGTGGTATCCAGGGCTCAGAGCCCAGCGAACAGGCTCATGACCAGGGTCTATAGCCTGATCAGGACAAAATCCCACAAGACAGCATCTGCAGCCCAGGGTAAAGCAGGAGTCACAGTTGTGCAGCTTGGACTGCTGCCAGCAATGGAGACGCACACTGACTGACTTTCACAGTAAACCATGTTGTTCATCACCATAACAAGACTGCCTCAGGACAGCTGCTACAAAACATATTATCATTTTCATGAACATATAAGTGATAAGCTGCTTCTGATGATCAGCATATTTCAATTAAGGTTAAAATCAGTTTCATGGTTTTCTCCAATGCCTCAGACAAATATTTCACTTTATCTCAGAAACAATTGAAGTCCATATCCGTCCATACTCAGCCCAGACAGAGCTGCAGTCACAAGGTCTTGGTCATTATCCAGAGCAAAACCTCCACCATACAGTCAAGAGCATCGTAGTTGAGCAACCTGCTGTCTTTATGATCTATGCTGGCTTGGAAAAAGGTTTGCTGCCCATAAAATTAGTTTGTTTTTCTCAATAAATTTAAAGAGATTTGGAGATCACATTTTATCACTTAGCTGAAAACCTACATGGAAAAATAGACAGCATATGTCAAATAAAAGGCTTTGTGAGATTAACACAAACATGCCTTGAGGGAAAGCTGGATTCCACAGCCTGTGAGACCCCAGGTGACCTGAACCAGCAGTGCTGTACACCTGCTGAGCAAAGCTGCAGTACTGCTGCTCCCAGTTCAGTAATACAGAGTCCGGCTCAGTAATGCTGCGTCCAGTTCAGTAATACAGAGTCCGGCTCAGTAATGCTGCGTCCAGTTCAGTCCAGT